CTAAATTCTTACACCAAAAGACTTAAACATCCTACATTTCATAAATTCTTACACTAAAAAAACCTATTCACCCTACATTTCATAAATTCTTTCACTAAAAAAAAAGACCTAAACCCCCTATAAATTCTTACACCTAAACACCCTACATTTCATAAATTCTTTCACTAAAAAAAAGACCTAAACCCCCTATAAATTCTTACACCTAAACACCCTACATTTCATACACCAAAAACACCTTCAATCAATTTCCTACATTCCATCAAAAAAAAGCATATTAAAAATACCCTTATTTAAAAATAACATAACATTTTTTAATAGCCTCGTTTTAAGTAATGTAGAAGGGAGATAACTCTTGTTTTGGAAAACAATTTTCTACTCAAATTTTAAACCTTAAAAATGGCAAATAAAATACTTGATCCAATCTTTAGATTATACGATCCGATTCGTTATTCATTTAACAAGAAAAAAGAGGATTATATTATCATCTCACCCACTGTTGGTTCTAAATCCCAATTGAATGATGGTGGTAGAATTACCTTCGAAATAAATTCATTATCGAATTGGTTGCTTCTTTCCGATGCTTATTTCAAATGTGATTTCAAAATTAAAGATGGAACTCAGAATCAAGTTCCACAAACAAATACAACGTTAGAAAACACAATAGGAAGAGTAGCAAGAGCAGCTAATCATGGATTCGAAAAACGAGTACTTTAGTATAATAATATTGTTGAGAATAATAGGTGGGGTAATTACGTAAATTGGAAATTATATCCTTTATTCGGTCTGTTGGAACACAGAAAGGTTTCCATAGGGTTACCATATAAAATTCATCTACAAAGAGAAATCAACGATGATAAGATATTCTTTGGAGAGAATGTTTCGGAGAGAATGTTTCAGATGCAAAACTAGAAATAACAAATCTCCAATTTTTCATACCCGTAATAACACCATCAATTGAAGGAGAAACGAGAATATTCAACTCATTAGATAAAGATATTGAAATAGCTTTTCTTCATCGTAATACGGTAGTTAGCATGACTTTAACTGGAGAATCCACCACATGGCCAATCACTAACACTATTAAACCAGCAATATATTTAATAGTTGGTTTCAAAAAATTAAAAAATTAAAAATACAGAATTTTGTTTGCAATCTTGAAGTACACCTCTTGTTTCTCAAACGAATAACAATAATGTCTTGGCAATGAATCAAACTCAAGATCCTTTAATCCATAAAGTTCAAGTAAGATTAAACAACGATAATTATCCTAACCAACCTTTAACAATTAATCCAACCAAAAAGGATTATAATGAATTGTATAGAAACTATAAAAATATGTGTGAATTATTTGGAAATCCACCTCAGTTTGAATATGTAGATTTTGCACTTAATCATTCAAACTTCTGTTTTTAGGGCAGGATTTAGGGCAACACGTCTGGTTATGTCGTCATGTCGCTACATTAACTACCATTATTTATGTACATGGGACATATGTGAGTACCTTGCAGTGTTACTATTACAATCTAATATATAATTAACAATAAAATACGATATCATCTAGATTCAATAGATAGTGTGAACACATTTCAATAGACAAAATGGATTTTGCTAATCGTCACACACCACCGATAAATGCTCACATCACAGGTACAAGTCTACCCAGCTATACGAATGGAAACTATGCCACGTCCCCGACGAGTAATTATCTCGGTCAAGCGTCGACGGCATTATTTCATCCCGGTACTAACACACAGGGAAATCTAGAACACTTTATAACTGATATTTATCAAAAATTACAGAAAATGGATTTGCTCGATCAAATAAACCAAAGACTGTGTACCATGGAAAGTAGGTTTGATTCACTAGAAAGGACGATCTATGGAATGAAAACAGAGATGGGTAGTCAAGCCGAACGATTGGATGGGTTGGAATTTCAGAGATCACTGGTTGATGACCGTATGCATATGTTGGCGATAGAAAACAAAGAACTGAAAGAGAGAATGTTGGATATTCCAACTCGTTCAATGAAAGATAACCTATTATTTGGTGGGATCGAGGATACCGGAGATATCAACGAGAATACAGAGGAGGCTGTTCAGACATTTATTAAAGATAAACTTCTGATTTCTGAAGATGTTGTGCATCGTCTCCGTAAACGACCGGATGGGAAATCAACGACTATCGTGGCAAAATTCGAGAGTAGAAAGGACAAAATAAAAGTACTATATGCTGCGTCACAGACTCTAAGAGAACGGAGCCCTTATTCGGTTTATGAACAATACCCTCAAGAAATTAACGAAAGGCGCAAATTACTAATACCCGTATTCAAAGACTTGGCCATAGAGCATCTCTAAATATCGACAAACTGTATATTAACGGACGGTTTCACCGACCAGGAGAATCCCTACCCCCTCAGTTCATAAGAAATCAAGATCCGCCCAATGTGTTACAAAACTAGGACAACGTAACGAGAGGTTACAACAATAACAATGTGAATAAAACTCTGAAACACATCTAAATGTTTGTGGGGTCAAAAGTAAGTTGTTGTTACCTGAATTTACTGATCTAATTAACTCATTCGATTTATTGATCTTTAGTGAATGTAAAACTGATCAGTATGATGTATTACAGCTTCCTGATGGATACTCATACTTTTCAAAACATACACAAAAGTTCGTGAGGCGATCAGGTGGAATCATGGTTGTTTACAAGAATGAACTTAAGTCACATCTAAAGTTTCATGTAACAACTTCTGAATTCGTTCTGTGGCTTAGTGTATCAAAAAATGTCCTAAACATTGATTTTGATATATTAGTAGGTTGTACCTATATACCCCCCGAAAATTTTCGATGCACCTCACCTGACGCATTTGCCGAAATTGAGAATGAATTGATTACTATTATGGGAGACGTTAATTGCAAGCCTGTACTTATAGGTGATTTCAATTCTCGTACTCGATGTAACCCTGATTACACTATACCAGATAACGACTTGATAGAAACTCTCGATATTGATGTCAGTGATGACATATACACTTATTTATATGATTTTGAAAATCTTTCGAAATATGATGTCCCACTAAATAGATCTAGTCAAGACACTAGTGCACCTAGTAGTTACGGGTTAAAGCTCTTAGAAATGTGCAAATGTAATAATCTCTATATTGCTAATGGTAGAATAGACCAAGATAAAAATGTAGGTAAAGCTACATGTAGTGGCACAAGTGTCATTGATTATGTATTAATGTCATCTAAGATAATTAATATTATTTCAACATTTGAAATACAAGACTTTAACCCATTATTCAGTGATGTACACTCTAGAATTGACGTATCTTTCAAAAGTTCTCCGGATATAGTAAATTATAATCAACCTGATAACAGTATAACACATAGCTCGTATACCAAATGGAACTGTGCCAAAAAAGATGTCTTCACTAACTTAGTTAATACAAATGTCGATATTATACAAAATATAATATTAAATTTAAGTAACATATCAAGTACCCAAAATAAGGATACTATACGTCAAAAAATAAATAAGTCTGTTGAACAAATATGCAATTTATTTACAAATTCAGCGATAACTGCTTTTGGGTTAACAAATATAAAAGGAAAAACCAAATATAAAAAAAATAAAATGGAAAATAAACCCTGGTTTAATAAAAATTGTAAGCTATACAGAACAAAATTCCATAACGCAATGAAAAAATATTCAAAACATAAACATATTAACAATAAAGATAGCATGAAAATCGTGCGCGGACATTACGCACCCAGATAATTCCCGCCCGGACACTTCCCGCCCAGCCAATTGCCATCAGGACATTTCGCACCAGGACTATTCACATCAGCACAACTTCCACCCGAGACATTTCGCACCCGGGCACTTTGCACCCAGGACAAATTCCACCCAGGACAATTTCCCACCGCGACATTTCGCACCCGGGCACTTTGCACCCAGGACAAATTCCACCTAGGAAAACTTCCACCCGAGACATTTCACACCCGGATACTTCACACCAGGACGATTCACATCCAGGAAAACTGCCATCCGGAAATTTCGCACCCGGGCAGTTCGCACCCAATTTTTGCTCCCATTATAAAAATATTAAAAACAGAGGGCATGAATTGATAGAAGAACAAAAAAGTTATGATTGTGGTAAATATTTGATGCGAAGAGCTTGTAATGGCTCTTTGGTGGCGTACATGTTTACTAACTAAATTGTTACTGTTTTCAGAATTTATCTTCAATATAGGCATAATAAGGTCATATAGGCCTATGCCCTGTGCTATATTTTGTTTATTCGTAGGAAAAAAAAGTTCAAAGGATAAAGGAAAGTGAAACGTGCAGTATCCGTTTCTTCGTGGCCTTCTTCGCGGCCTTCTTCGCAGGGTTCTTCGAGGCAAGATGCAGGGTTCTTCGATCCTTTTTTAACGGTAAGTGTCACGAATGTTCAGAGTTCCAAATTTTCAAGCCGGGGAAATCGTGCACGGAATTCAATAATAAGAATGATTAAATTCAATTAAAATATAATTGCAACTTATGACTCAGACACATAATTTCAAAAAATAGATTTGATTCTTTAATGAGAATTCAATAGTAAAACGATTGCAGAGGGCATGGGACATCACTCTGTTTTTCAGGAGTGCAGGTGTGTTGCTCAATTTGACTTTCTCCTCATGGTAAATGTGGGTGATAAACAACACTGTCCCACACTAAAGTCTAGCCAACATCAGCTCTCTCTAAAAGAGGTTCTAAGGTTTGTATGTTTATATAAGTTATAATGTTTCGTTAATGTAGGTTTTTTCAGTGAGTAAACCCTAAAAAAAGGCCTACATTTGGATTTTCACATGCTTCTCCCCTGCACATAATTAGTAAGGCCCACTAGTCCGAATGCTCAGTAATAGAACGGGGACGGATGGCTCTTTAATTTGTTTATGCCTCCCACATATTTACATTGGGAGGTATAGCCTAACCTTTCAGGCAAGCCCTAAAACATAGCCCCTTTCACCCCTTAATCATTTTTTACAAATATATGATCAAGTTAAGTGGGTGGGTGTTTTGTGATCAAAATAAGCCCACAAATCAGTATGGGTAAGATTTGGGCCCATCAGATATAATATTGTATGGGTACCAATGTTACTTGGATTATTCTGATTTACAATGCATTAGACTAAAAATATATTGATTAGGCCTATTACGCTATGCCCTTTACCTGTGTGTTATTACATTTATGGTAAAAAGGTGTGAGCATTTCGTAAATGGGGGCCAATGTAACCCCATGTTTTTGAATTGACAGATCACAGTTCAGCAATGCCCACACAGAAAATTTCTAATGTATTTTTTTACCAAGGCAAACTTCTGGGTGCACTGCAGTTCCCTTTTATTTTAATTATGAATTAGTTAATGTACAGTAAATAGCCTAAATATTCTTTCAGATGCAGTTTGTTTCTACTCAACGAGGAGCCGAAAGACTTGTATTTGATGGCTTCGACTATTACTATGCAAAACTGCTGGCTAATGGCAACGGGTCATGGGAGTGTGTGCTTCGAAGACCAAAAAACTGCAAAGCAAGGATTCACGCTACTGACGATCATGTAGTTTGGCAATACATGCAACATAATCATCCACCTGATATTGCTGCCTACGTGGTTCGACGACAAGTCAAACACGCAGCTTTAAATACACCGGTAGGCCTAAATTGAGTTTTCATATGCATCAAAATTGCACGGTTAGGTCGAACCTACAGTTTAGTTTACAAAAGGTTCATCATGATTCGCTGATCAACTAATGCTATATCCAATTTCAATACAATTCTTCCATATTTCATTTTAAGCATAAAAATATGGTAGCAGGCAATCATTTAATATGTCATAATTCAAACAATATTCTGTCTGTTTAAGGTTTCATTGACCGGCGAATTTTGGCGATTGCTTCGCTTATCTTTAGAATAAGCACTATAAGTTATTAAAATCGGTTGGGAAATACCGAAGTAATCGCAAAAAAATTCATCGGTCAAGGAAACCTGAAAAGGACAGTAGGCCTACATACATGTATTGTAGTCTTTTCCCATAGGCAGATCTGCCAAGTTAGTATTCATGCGCCTTTGGGCCCTCTGAATACATGACTTCCTGATTAGTACACTGGTAAGGCCTACTGAATCACCTAATGAAGTACTCAATATATTTTATCTTCCAGGATGCAACACGTCTGGTGATTGGAAACACTCTTCAAGGAGCAGATGAAAATACTTTAACTAAACTTCCTAGTCAAAAGTCCCTGCAACGATCTGTTCGGAGGTATAGGGAAGATGCAGGAAATCCTGCTGTCCCAACAGACGGTGATCATCTCTTCGAAATTCCCCAAGAGTTCAGTATGATGAATGGCCAGCCGTTTTTGCAGTACGACAACAGGGATTTTCTTCTACAGCATCCCAATCTACCTTATAACCGTATGCTGATATTTGGCTCAAATGAAACTGTCAGTTTTTTGTCACAAACCTCGAACTGGTATGGCGATGGGACATTCAATATCGCGCCAACACAGTTTGCTCAGCTGTATACTTTGTCTGGATTGAGGGACCATTGGCACGTTGTTGGATTGTATGCTCTCTTGCCAAACAAGACAGGAGCAACATACCTCAATTACATGGAAGAGGTTCGCCATATACTAAATGGTCACCATGGTCAAGAACCTGATACGTGTCTTACTGATTTCGAGAGGGGCATGTTTAACGCCCTGGAAGCAACATATCCTAACACAACCCGGAAGGGATGCCTATTCCATTTGTCATCAAACGTGTATAAACATATTCAACAGCACGGACTCGTACAGCAGTACAATAACGATGCCCTATTTAGACAGAACATCAGAATGCTCCCCGCCCTAGCTTTTGTTCCCGAAGATGATGTCGTCAATGCTTTTGACGAAATAGTTCTGCATGCTGGCCCGGCTGAACAGCCGATACTAGATTACTTTGAACAAACCTACATCGGGCAAATGAGGGCTGGGATTCGTGTTGATCCACCGTATCCAGTTAGTCTATGGAACGTGTGCGAAAGGATGGATGGAGACTTCCCCAGAACAAACAACAGCCTTGAAGGATGGCATAACGCCTTCACCTCTTCGCTTCACGAGAGGCATCCGAACATCTGGAAACTGATAAGAGCTCTGAAGGCAGAGGATGGTTTGCAGCGAAGGAAAATCGCCAGCATCACAGCTGGTGTAGAAGCACCACCCCGTCTCCAAAGTACAGAAGGGTGAACAGGAATTTGCATAACTTGTACTTAGACTACGTTAATCGAGATGTTCTTGAGTATCTGCGAGGTATATCTTACAATCTATGGGATGTTTAAGGTAGACGTAGGCCTAGACTTGTGCCATGATCAACGATAATCAACCATTATTAAAGCATACATTGAATGTTATAAGACCCAATCAACGATAATAAGACAGATTCATGAGTATTATATAGAGCTAGTCTACCAAATTGCCAATCGTTTATTACTTAACTATTAGAGACTATACAGATTTAAAGTTTAATCTTCATTGTGCCTAAGAAAGCGTTTTTCCTTTATGTTAAATTTATATTGGTGTGTAAAGAGGGACACTCTTTTGAAATAAACGTTAATTTCAATCTTTGAGATTGATTTCAGGTTTATTTTTAAAGTCTCAGCATAGTCAAAGCAGATTTTGCAAATTTGAAAAGTAGATAAATTCTCGCCAAAAGGTCCCAAACGGCAGCCAGTCATACTTTGAGGCAGATTATGGCCCATTTTAATACTTTTCGTTAAAACCCCATTGCACACAGGTAGTGTAAGAGATATTGGAGCGTAGTCACTTAGCAAAACTAATACCCTGAGGCCCGTTCCAGTAAAATTCGTAGGTACAAAATTATGCGGAACTTCCATAGATACCATAGCTTACCATGGCAACTACGCATGATTTTGTACTTACGAATTTTATTGGAATGGGCCCCTTGTAGCATTGTTGTTTGTGTGAGAGACAGGAATGCGGTTCTTATGGGTGGAAATTGTCATGGGTGCTCTCTGTTTTTAATTTTTATAATGGGAGCAAAAATTGGGTGCGAACTGCCCGGGTGCGAAATTTCCGGATGGCAGTTTTCCTGGATGTGAATCGTCCTGGTGTGAAGTATCCGGATGTGAAATGTCTCGGGTGGAAGTTTTCCTAGGTGGAATTTGTCCTGGGTGCAAAGTGCCCGGGTGCGAAATGTCGCGGTGGGAAATTGACCTAGGTGGAATTTGTCCTGGGTGCAAAGTGCCCGGGTGCGAAATGTCTCGGGTGGAAGTTGTGCTGATGTGAATAGTCCCGGTGCGAAATGTCCTGATGGCAATTGGCTGGGCGGGAAGTGTCCGGGCGGGAATTATCTGGGTGCGTAATGCCCTACTACCCATGAAAATAGCAAGTAAAGAGTATAAAACTACTCTTAATGCAGCATTCAAAACCTTTCAATTCAACGCTGAAAACGAAATAAGAATAAAATCAAGTCATGATCCCAAATCGTTTTGGAAACTACTTGATAAAATTTGTGGAAACACTAAAAATAAAAAAGCTGATATCAAAATAGATGAATTATATGATTATTTTAAACAATTGAACAGCTCTGATCAGATAGATGAACACTTTGATACTTCACTTGGCTGTGAAAATAACTTCGGTGACATCCTTAATTCACCAATAACTGAAATAACGGAAGCTATAAAAAACCTTAAATCTAATAAAGCTTGTGGCATCGACAACATATACAATGAATACATAAGATCAAGTATTGGGACATGTCTCCAATTATACAACATACTTTTTAATACGGTACTTGACACAGCGATAATACCAGAAGTCTGGTCAATCGGAACTATACGACCAATTTACAAACACAGGGGTGACCCGAAAAATCCAGATAACTACCGAGCCATTACTTTAATTTCCTGTTCGGCAAGGTCTTTACCTCTATTTTAAACAAAAGATTGAATGATCTCGCTGAAGAAACAAATTTAATATCCGACTGTCAAGCAGGTTTACGGAAAGGATATTCCACAACCGATAACATGTTGTCTTACAATCCCTAATAAATATATATCTAGCATTTGGGAAGAAACTGTATTGTGTTTTTGTAGATTTATAAAAAGCATTCGACACTGTGTGGCGAACAGGACTCTGGCAGAATTGTGTAATATTCGTGGTAAAATATTCAATGTTATTTATAACCTATATTATGACACTAAATCGTGCGTCAAAAATGGCGATGATATATCTGGATACTTTTCATGTAACACTGGCGTACGCCAGGGAGAAAACTTATCACCATTTTTATTTGCTATCTTTTTAAATGACATTGAAGACTTTTTCACAAACAATGACGTCCCAGAACTCCATCATATTAATTCATTAAACATAACTAACATTGGTTTATATCTTCGATTATTTTTATTGTCATATGCGGATGTTATATTTGGATTTTCTCCAAAGGAAAAATTAAAAAGAAAAATAAATTTCATATATTTAATAATGAACTAGAGTTTAAGGATTCATATACATATCTAGGCCTCCTTATCAACTTTAATGGTAAATTCTCCAAATCAAGACAGCAACTAATAGATCAGTCACAAAAGGCCCTGTATGCCTTATACCTAAAAATACGAAATATAGCGCTTTCAATCGATATACAATTAAAATTATTTGATATGCTAATTTCACCTATTCTTTTATATTCAGTAGAAATCTGGGGCTATGAGACTTGCTCGGATATCGAACGAATACACCTTAAATTCTGTAAAAGAATACTTAATCTAAGAACATC